GAACCTAGTGAAAGGGTTCATCCAGCCAGTGAAATCAAGAATGGCAGTGCCGGTGCTTTTCAAAGAAAAGAAGGGCGGGTTCCTTAGACTGTGTGTTGAATATAGGGGGCTAAACTGCATATGTGTGGAAAACATGTACCCTCTTCCCACTTATGAGAGACTTACTAGGCTATTTGGCAAAGGGAAAAATCTTCACAAAGCTGGACTTGAGGGAGGCATATTACCATGTGAGGGTTAAGGAAGAGGATGAGAGGAAAACAGCTTTTAATTGCCCCCTAGGCTGCGATCAGTTCCAAGTAATGCTATTTGGGCTGCAAGGGTCCCCTGCTGTATTCATGCAATTAATAAATGAGGTCGTGCATGAGCACCTGTACAAGGGAGTCTTGGTGTAGTTGGACAATATATTAATATACACCGATAGCCCTGAAGAACATGTGAATCTGGTCAGAACCATACTCAGGAAACTGCGAAGCTATCTAAGTGTGAATTCCACAAAACCTGTTTAGACTACCTGGGATACCAGATCTCCAGTGAGCGAGTAGAGATGGATCCAAATAAGGTGAAGTATAGGAGTGGGAGCCCCCTTGGACCAGGAGGCAACCTCAGAGTTTCCTGGGCTTTTACTGCTAATTCATCCCAACCTTCACCCAGATAGCCCTACCAATCACCAATTTGCTAAAGACAGGAGGAGGGACAAAACCAAAACCCAGCCAGCCCCTGGATTGGTCCCTTGACTGCCAAGCTGCTTTTGAAAAGTTGAAATGCCTGTTTGCTGCAGAGCCAGTCCTGAAACACCCCAACCCAGAGGAGCCATTTGTAATACAGGAGGATGCCAGTGAGGTAGCAGTGGGGGTGGTCCTACTCCAAAGGAATGCCAAAAGGAACTACAACCCTATACCTACATGTCTCACAAGTTGTCCAATACTGAATGGAGCTGGGCTATCTGGGAAAAGGAGGCTTACACAGTCCAATGGATTCTCCTGACATGGAGACAGTCCCGGGAGGGTAACAAGATCCCCTTTGAGGTCTGGACAGATTATAAAAACCTGGAAGCACTGAAGGCCCCCTGGAAGCTATCCCCTAAGCAGGTCCGGTGGGCCCAATATTTTAACTGGTTCAACTTCACACTCCAGTATCTGCCAGGAAGGAAAAACTTCCTTGCAGATGCCCTCTCCCGCATGCTGCAATACAACAGTGCTCGAGAGGCAGTGGTGACATGCATCATCCAATCCAAGCAGTGCACAGCACTGGCTCTCACTCGACAACAAGTGATGCCTCAGCTGCAGCCAGCCCAAGACTTAGCGCAACCTTTAAAAGATGCCTTATTAAGAGATGAGTGGTTCCAGCAGTACAAAGACAATCTATCACTGAGGGAGGGGCTGGCATGGAAGGGCACCAAAATATATGTCCCAGCCATCCAGCAGACCTAGATTTTACAAAGGAGTCATGATGCAAGGGCAGCAGGGCATTTTGGATTCGTAAAAACTCTGCAATTCTGACAATTCTGGGGGCCAAAGATGAAAAAGAACATAGAAATTTATGTGGGCAGATGCCCTGTGTGTGTTTCAATGCAACGAATGCCCAGGAAGTCCCACGGATTACTGGAGATAGTAGCCAACCCGATGAATCCCTGGGAGAAAATCTCCATGGACTTTATTGTGGACTTGCCAGAGAGGGTGGGAAACACTGTAATTTGGACCATTGCAGAGTTATTCTCCAAGCAGGCACATTGTGTGGCATGCCCAAAGATTCCCTCTGCCTGAACCCTGGCAAAGCTGTTCATACAACATAGTTATCAACTGCATGGAGTCCCAAAGAGGATCATCTCAGACCGTGGGGTACAATTCACTACAAAATTTTGGCAGGAATTCCTTAAGCTGATTGGCTCTTCACAGGGCCTTCGCTCCACCTACCATCCCAGTACTAATGGAGACTGTAAATTCAGTGTTAGAGTACTACCTGAGGTGTTATGTCAATTATCAACAGATCAATCGGGCCAAACTCCCACCTTTTGCAGAAGTGGCATATAACAACTGCATGCAGACCTCCTGATTTCTAGCCTTAACCTCTACATCATGCTGGATCTCTTTATTATTTATTTATTATTCAAATGTAAATGCCACTTTAATTGCCAAGTCTTTTATGCCTTGTTTTCATGGACTATAATCCTGAAGACAGCTTTTTTCCTTGATGAGTGCACTGTCTGTGCTTCACATCAGGAGAAATAAGCCTGCTAGACTTCAACTTCCAAAATTCTCAGCAATGGCCACAATGTCTAGGAAATTCTGTGAACTGGCCACACAGCTAGGGGACAATCTGATAGCTGCCCTGATTTTATAAGAATAAATGGTATTTGTCATTTTTTCCCTCAAAAACCTATTACATTTTGAGTTATGCAATAGCATAAGGAAAGAAAAAAGAAAGAAAGAAAGAAAGAAAGAAAGAAAGAAAGAAAGAAAGAAAGAAAGAGAAAAAAAGAAAGAGCCAACAGTTAAGGAACATCTACTACTTCCTGTCTTTATTATGGTTAAGGGAGTGCAAATAATAGTAAGAGCTAGTTTAACACCTAAACAGGAAACTTCAGCTACTTGCATTTTCAAATTGTATAGAAATTCACAACCATGTTTTAATAGGAAAGCTAACAGATACTAAAATGTAGGAAATCTGAATGTAAGTGTAATTCAGATTCTAAAACAATGACCAGCTGTGAACTACCATGTTTCGCCAAAAATAAAACCAGGTGTTATATATATTTTTTGGACCAAAAGACTCATTAGGGCTTATTTTGGAGGGGATGTCTTATTTTGCAGCTGCCCACCCACTCCATCCCACCATCTGGTTGCTTGTGGCCACAATGGGGCAGGAGAAAAAAAAGAATGAATGTCAAATTGGAAAAGACAATTGATGTGATAGTGTAGGAGAAAATATAATCCATTCACATATCTTTCTGAAAGAAAGCCAAACCAAAATGTGGCAGTAAACAGTTCCATATAATTTACAATTGAACTGATTCAATCGCATGTTCTTATTAGTAGTAGTATTTTCTCATACACACACTCAAATGAAGGTGGCGAATCATATCTAATACTCCATGTCTCCTATGGCATGTGGAGATCTTGAAATTACTTAGTTGTTAAAAGTGACTGGGTAAAAAAGAAATAGTTAAACAAATTGATAAAATTTCTGGCTTTATTTTATGCTACAGGCCAGGGATAATTCTGCTGGGAAATGAACTATTTGGCAAAGCATAAGCCGAAGTTACTTAATGATTTATTATTAAAAGCTTGACCACAAATGGCCTCAAGTGGTGGAACAAAGCACCTCCAAAATTAGCACTACGTTATTATATTCATGTAGTGGCATTTAATTTTCTATTGCATAGTTTTATATTCTCCTTTTTTCTAAGCACTCAGGGTGGTTTATGTTGAAAGCCTTTTATTTTTTTATCCCTGCAAAACAGTTCCAGAAGGTTGCTTGGGTTAACTGCCAGCCAGCAATTTTCCAGGCTGAGGATGGGCTTGAAGTTGAATAACACCACTAGTAGCAAAATTAATTCAAACTTCCTGTCAAAAGATGACCCTCTCAAAAGAAGGGATTTATGAACTGGGTCATGAACAAATCACATTCAAATGATCTCAAAACTCAGGAGGCATGGACCTTTCTTGCAGCCTTGTTCTTGGGTTGGTGTGGTCGAAAGAAGTTGGGACTGAAGGTATCAAAACTCTCAACTAGCTAGATGGGAATTACAGAGGCGGTGATTCTGGATCTCTGCTTTCAGAAAGAAGATATCTCTGAGTTCCCTCTCCTTGGGCTGAAACTGGTAGTCAGCTAAACATTTACCCCACTGCTGTGTGGACCTGGATACTAAATGGAGTCAATCAGGTTTTGGATGTTAAGACATCCAAGAAATTGTAGAGTTCTAAGGTAGACTACCAAATTAGAGGCCATGGAAACTATGGAAATCCAATTCAAATAAAGGACATTTTAAATAATCTTTAATTCCATTGAAGAAATGGAGTTGATTTTCCTTCACTTATATCTGACCGTTATTCAAGCCATACCCTTTAGCAGCAAGAGATGCAGCCTGATGCTATTCTGATTGTTTTGGATCCAATCTAGTGTTCTTAGGCATGGCAACTAAGGCTGGTGCAGACAAGAGCACAAAACAGGTGATTGTCAGTTCCTCCCCTAGCTATTTAGTTTTAACTGTGATTGGATTGCAGCTTAAACCACAAGCATATTCCTGGGAGGGGGGAAATCCTCCTCCACCACTTTTTTATGCATGCTATTTTAAATGCGCGCGCATCTCTTGCTGTTGTTATGAACCCATCTTGCAAGAGGTGTTTTGCTTTAGCTGTCAAACTTATAACGGCCTCCCTCCTCTACCTTCCTCCTGTTTTCCTCCTGTTGCCCATTGATGGTGCATTGGCACACAGCGGCTGCTCGGAATCTGCAGCGACTCCATGTGGTCGTGAGGGGGAATACCTCTCGCTTTCTCTTTTATGCAAGCGCGGGTGTCTCTCCCTGCCTGCCTGCTCCTCCTCACAAAAGATTTGGACGAATTCCTTTCTCCGGGTTTTCAAGCTATCTTTTAAAAATCCATCCCGCTCTCTCGCGTTGAAAACGAGCTGTGTAGGGAAGCGAGAGGCGGGAGACAGGAGGAAGCTTGCAGGGAGCAGGAAAAAGAGGGACGGAAGGAGCGATTAGGGAAGCAACCGATAAACGGGCGGCGAAGGTGGCCGAGGACGCGGCGCAGCGGTCGTTTTCCAAAAGCAAAAGGATTCAGACGGCGAAGAAGATCACCATGGGGGATAACGTGTCTTGCCGTTAGCAAGTGAAGGGATTGGGAGAGGAGAAGGCGGCAGAAGCAGCCCCTGATCCCGCAGCCGGGTTGCAAAGAGCACGGAGACCGGAGGCTCGCGGCTCGAAGGGGTGGCTATTGGGCTGGGAAGGAAGAAGCGGCGACATCCACACAGAGTGTGACGCCCCAGGTTTTGGTCATGCCCTTCGCCAAGAGGATCGTGAAGCCCCAGAGGCTGTGCCGGCGGCAGCATATTGCCTCGGTGCTAGACGAGAACTCCGGCGTCGAGCTTCCTCAGCCGGGAAGCTACCGAGAAGAACCCGGGGAGGCGATGGACGAGCCGGAGGAAGAGGTTCCGGCTGGGCTGGCTGCCGCGCTGACCGCCGAAGGGAAGGAGAACCAGGAGGCGGCAGCGCTGATGCTTTTGGATCTGTGCTCAGTCAGCAATGTTGCTCTCTCGCGGATCCTCCGGCAGCTCTCCGATGTGGCCAAGCACGCCTGCACCCTCTTCCAAGAAATCGAGAGCGAGATCCAGCTCACTCACCGCAGGGTCCAGGCGCTGCACAGCCGGATTGGCGGCGTCCAAAGCATTTTACACAGTTTGGATCCGAAGCAGGAGGCAGTGTGTAAGTGGAAGACGCCTTCCTCTCCCTTCCTTCCCCTTGAGGCGACCTCGGCGCTGGCTTACCTTAACCTTCGCTCTCTTTCGTATGGCTCTTAAGGGGAATCGGGCGCCTGGGAGGCAATCTGTGGATGGCTCTTGGGTTTCTTTTTTCCTTCAATTTTTCGGAGTGGGGAGAGGAAGCGAGATTTGCTCCGATGCTGGTGCCAAGTGAGGGAGGAAAAGGGGCCGCGGAAGATAAAATGGTGCTGCTTGGGCATCTCGGGGAGGTGTGGCCCTGAATCCCTGAACGCGGCTATTCCCGATATCTCCCCCTAGCCGCCGCCCTTCTTTTTTCAGGAAAAGGATGCAGCTTCGGCAGACAAAAGTTTTCCCCTCTGCGGGAAGTGTAGATGGGACAGATTCGCCGACGTGGGGGGTAAAAGAAGTGGAAGGTTCTGGGGCCGAGATGCGGAAACTTGATTGGGATGTGCACGCGCCTTTGATTTGAACGACCCATTTCTGTCAAAAGGGCTTTAGAGTTGTTTTGGTTTCCCGAGCGATTGCCAGAGAAAACTCGGTGAGTGGCATGGAGATGAACCGCGGCTCGCCTTTCAGGCTTCCCGCAACCCCTTCTCCCACCTGCCTCGTGTCCGCATCCTCGAGCTCTCGGGTCCACTCGGGAAGAACGAGTGGTTTTCCCCGTGGAAAACTGCGCGGCGATGCGCGGGAGACGCCTAACGTGCTGGGAGGGGATCAGTCGTTGATCTCATGCGGAAGAAGGTGAAGCGCGGGGGGCGGGGAGAGGAGACAGGAGTCCCCGACTACAGCTGCAGGGAAAGAAACGGGGGGGGGGCATCGGGGACAACCTGCCTTCCGCCACCCGAGACTTACGGCGATCTGCCTGACCCGAGACTTACGGCGATCTGCCTGAGAGTGGTGAGTGGGCATTTAGTGCATGCGTGAGAGAGGCGTGCGGCGCAAGAACGGGGTCCGACCCCCCTCCTCTGAACCGACAAGGTGACCATTCTTGCAGTGATAACAGACGAGCCTCCGTGTGTGCCGCTTCACAGAAAAAAGGGGTGGGGATAGTGTAAACTGGGGATAGTGAAGCATCTAAAAGAGGGCGCGGGGAAAGAAGAAAGCGTTTTAGCGCAGATTTTCCTAGCCTCTACCTGCAAATGGCTGGATTCCTAAACCCAAACCAGCACGCCCAGTCTCTGGAGGACACTGAGATCCCCAGCCCTTGTTGGTGGCCACTGTAAGTCGCATTGTAAGTGGTCATCCGCCACTCATCTAGTGCATTACGGAATTCTGCACTGCTTTAAATGGGACCAGTAGGATATAATCTGAAGGGATATGCAGTATCCAAAAACAGACTATAAATAAGCAAATAAATGTTAGCTTTGGTTGGGAAAATGTCAGATGGGTCGGCAGAACTGGATGGCTAGAATCTATAGATCACACAATCAGGAATATAATATAAAAAATATTTAGGTTGTCTTAATTTCAGAGTCTGCTTTCCTATTGGTGAGGGGAGGCACCAGTTTGAGGAAGGATGGAAGGGTTTTCCTCTTCAGCAATATCAGCCTTCCCTAACATAATGTCTCTGGATATAAAAGAAAGGAACATGATTCTATTAGTTGGAGAATAGGAAAGTTATTGGCCAACACATTTAGAAGCATTAGATTGGGGAAGTAATATTTGGGGTTTCATGGATATGTCCTTCTTGCATGTAGTTCTCTCTCTCTCTTTGGTTTCTCAACGAAGGATGTTTATCCATCCTTTGAAATTCTCAACTAATTTATGGTTAGTAGTCACCTAAAACAGATCATCCACTGATTTGGGGTGACTGACTACTGCTTAAATGAGTAAACACTGAGATTGGAATAGTCTTTATGAAGCTAGTGTTCTTCAGATATATCAAACCACATCTTTCAGTATTTTTAGCCAACTGGAGTTACAGTCTAGCATATTTGAAAAATGGGGAAAACTAGATTAGAACTTCAAGCTCTGTGGTTGAATTCTAGGTTAAAAAAGCATTACAAATAACAATGTTGGATCTATGAACTTTATGGTATTTCCCATCTCAGTCTTTGATTGTACTTATGTATAACAAACCATTATGATTCTCTACCTGCTTAATTTCCTTGTCTCCTTTCAAAGAATTTGGTGCTTTGAGTGCCATAAATATATAGTAAAGGTATTAAATATTTTCTGCTGAAAGTATCTAGCATGTCTGCAAAACCACAAAGGGAATTATTACTATACCTGTTTGTTATGGAAGAAGCTGTGATTCAGTAATAGAGGATTTGCTTCTCAGGTTAATTAGTTCTTGGCATTTCTGAGAAGCAGGTTTGGTTCATTTCTACAATTTCTAGAGATACTGCCTCTCTGACCTGGAAAAGGTGAATTTTATTTATTCCTCACATTTGTAGAGCTGCATATCTTATAAAAGGTGACTGTCTTATCTGGCATGTGGCTGTTTATGCAAATATCTAGATTTGGATACTAAAGTTATCTTTTTGGTGATTTGACTATGTGGTTCAAAAGGCATATTCTGAAGACATGAGATGTGGTGAACTTGGTAAGTGGTTTTAGGCTACTTAGCATCTGGATGAGAGGTGGGTTGGAAATCCCACATGTGTTATTTGTTTATTTTATTATAAAGCTTATAACAGCAAGCATTCTATAAATAGTACAACAGCATGGAGAAAATGTGGGTCATAGACACATTAAACTCAATTTCAGGAAGAATTTGACAGCAGTTTTTAACGGAAAGTTTATATTTAAAGATGGAATGAATAATCCAGTGTGATGTTGTAGTGAAGGCCTATATTAGGAAGGCCTTGGTTCAAGTCCAACTTCAACTACAGTATTTCTCTGGGTAATTTTGCACCCATCTTATTTTCAGCTCAAAAGATTACCAAAGTGTTAAAAAAAGATTGGAGGAGAAAGTGCTATGCATGCTATCTTGAATTCCTTAAGGAAAGGTGGAATACAAATCTAACAATGGCCTGAAAGTTAACATCTGCTGGAAAGGACCATTTTGAAGATCCCTTGATCTCAGAGGCCTATCTTTTTTAGATGCATAGAAGGATCTTCTTAGTATTGTCGTCTTTGATTTATTTATTCTTAAACCCGCCATTTTTCCAAACATTTTAATCTTCCTCATAACATGTTCAATGTTCTCTAGCAGGTTTTGCACAATCAGTACCAAATCATTGGCACATAATTTGTAATTATGCAATTTAATTTGTAATCCTTTTGCTCTGTTATCCTGTCTAATATCTCTATTTAACAGTTCCAATACTAGAATAAATAATAAAGGGGATAAAGGACACTCCTGTCTTGTTCCCTTCTGGATTTCACATGGTTTTGTAAAGTCTCCATTCACCATGATTCAAGCTTTCTGGAGTGTATAGATCAGGGGTGTCAAACTTGCAACATCATGTGATGTGTCGCGACATGTTGCAACTTTTTTTCCATTGCCGGCAATGGGGTGGGTGTGGTTTCGGTATGACGCACTCGGCCCACGGGCCGACAGTTTGACACCCCTGGTATAGACGGACTTCAAACCCTGTATAAAGCCCAATACAAAATTCATCTTTTCCACTACTTTAAACATAGAGGCCCAGTTCAAGTTGTCAAAAGCTTTTTCTGCATCCAGAAAAACTAATGCAACCTGTTTGTCGCTACGTAAATATTCAATTATATTCAGAATTACTCTTACATTATCTTTTAGTTGTCTTTTAGGAAAGAAACCACACTGGTCTTCATGTATATAATTCTATAAAACTTTTTAAAGTCTTTCAGCTAAAATAGGTATAAAGAGTTTGTAGTCATTATTAAGGAGAGAAATTGACCTATAGTTCTTCACAGAAGTTAAATCCAATCTATCTTTGGGTATTAAAGAAATGTAGGCATCCTTCCAAGAGTCTAGTATAAGGTTCCCTTGTAAGATAGAATTCATTAAGTCCTTCAATGAAGGCAAACAAGGTCCAAGCAGAAGAAGAACATCATGGCTTCAAAATCTAAGGGACTGGTTTGGACAAAACTCAGCAGCACTTTTTCGTGCGGCTGCTGATAAAAACAGGATCACCAACACGATCGCCAACGTCCAATAACAGATATGGCACAAGAAGAAGAAGAAGTCTTTCATTGGAATAAGTAGTTTTTATAGAATCCACTCAGTAGGCCTCTGGTTCCGGAGCTTTGCCTTTTAATTGCTTCTATTATTTCAAAAGTTGTTATTGGACTATTCAAAATTTGCTTGTAGTTTTCCGATAGTTTAGGAAGATTTTTAGTTGTTACATACTCCTCCATAGTATCTAAAGATATTTCTTGTTCTTTGTATAAATTGGTATAATAATTCCAAAAAAGTCTTTGAATGTTTTTGTTATTCATATAGATTTTATTCCCCTCTTGAAGCTTGGTTATCATCTTCTTTTCTGTCTATTTTCTTAATTTGTATGCCAGCCATCTCCCTTGTTTATTTGCATGTTCAAAAAAGTGTTGTTTTGTATATTTAAGTTCCTTTTCAACATCTGAGTCAATCAAGAAATTTGTTGTTGCAATAATTTTAGTTGATTAAGTATATTAGGAACTTCTGGTAAATTCTGGAGTTCCCTCTCCTTCAGTTTAATTTCTTGTAGCAGATTTTGGATTTTTTGATCCATCTTCCTCTTAATTGCTGTATTGTATTGTATAAAATGTCCTCATATTACAACCTTATAAGTATCCCAAACTGTTGTCAAATTGGTTCATTACCTAAATTATTATTAAAATAGTCTTGAAGTACAATCTGTGGTCTCTGCAAAACAGACTCATTTAATCTCTATTTAAAAGACTGAAGACCAAATTTAAGATGTAAAGACATTGGATTATGGTCAGAAAAAGGTTTTGGAAAAATAATAGCTTTAGTTGTTTTGTGAAGCAGATTTTTGTATCCAAATTATATCAATTCTAGAAAAGGATTTGTGTCTCTCTGAAAAGAAGGTAAAGTCTTTTGTTAGTCCATCTTTA